GCCTCCCCTGCCTCCTCCCGGCTCCGGGACGCAGGTCCGCCCCGTCCCTGCTCCGTGGGCGTCGGGAGGCGGTGGGTGCAGAGCCAGGGCCTCGGGCACAACCAGACACCCAGGCCCTGGCCTTTCCAACACAGTGGCAACTTGCAGCGGAGGCCCCGGCTCCTTATCAAATTGCTGGCCTGCAAGACTAATGGGGAACTTGTGGAGGATCCCTGTCCTTCCCTTTGAAGGAAGGTCCCTCCTCTGACAGCTGCTGGAGATATTAGCCACATTTCCCCGCCCAAATCTGCTCCGGGTTAACAGGCCCACGGGCTGGAGGGGGCCAGGCCCGAGGGTCCTGGGGGGCTCTTCTGGGCAAGTCTACGTAGGGGGAGCTGGGGAGGGAGGGGTGGGCGGCAGACACGGACTTCCCTGGTCTTTTTTTCTGTTTTCCCCTTAAAATGTGGCTTCTTGCTCAATCCCCAACCCTTAACAGATGGCAACTGCGGTTCTCTCGGAATTTCTTAAAGGAAGGGAAACCTTTGGAATTTATTTCTGCTTTCGCTTTTCCATATAAATAAAAAGTGTTTTTATATTCCTCTTGTTTTGGAGAACATAAGCAATTTTATTCAGACTACAGTATTTCCTTTAACACTATATGGTTGTCAAAACACCATTCCCAGTTTCGTTGCTTTTGACAGCTGAGTCTTTCTTAAATATACCCAAATCGGAACTCTTTATACTAAATAGTAAACCAGAGATAGGAGCAAGTGCTTCCGAGGGGTATAAAAAAAGCAATATACAAATTGGACAACTACCACCCCTCAGCCTTGGCATACTGGGGGGTGGGAGAGGGGGATGCAAACAAAGGTTATTACAATTATTATTCATCTCCAAATATTTAAAAAGGTTAACATGACAGGATGTGGTTTTGTTGAAGAAATTACACCTGGGAGTATTATACTCATGAAAACCAAGGGTAGAGAGCTCTGGGATCTAAACTTTGATGAAATAGCTTATTAATAATTGCATGACACACTTCCTAAACAGGAGTCAATTAGCTACAAGTAAATCCTTCAGCATTTACTTTTCTGAGAGGAACTAAAGAAAAACTTCGCAATAAAAAAAGCAGTGAGCTGATGGGAGAGTTAATTTAGAAGTGAGGAACTTGTCAAATTTTACCTAAAAGCATTTACAGTAAAAGTATACACATATTTAAATTTTGCAAAAGGACTCCCTGTGAAAGGGCCTAAGAAAAATGAGAGGGAAGCTATCTCTATTCAAGTGGCACAGAAGTTCTCCATTACCAGTTAGTTTGTATCAGAAATGCTATTTCTATGTTTAAGCAGCAGCACATTCACTGAAGTTATAAATGTATTTATAAAAAGTCTACCAAACTAAAAACAACACAAAACAATAGACGTTTACTTCCTCGTCCTATGTATACAACTTCTATTCATGTTTTCTGCACTGGAAAGAGAAGAACCCCAAATAAGATATAAACTTGGATTTCTGAAACAGTGAATTATTTTCCTATCAAGTTGACACAACTAGCTAAAGTCTATATTACATCGTTTAAACATAGGATTCAACATTTTGGTGTTACAAAATCCCAGGATAGTATATTTATTTGAAAAATTAAGGGGGGGGAGTTCAAATACCTCACTTTTTTTTCACTTTCCACACTTTGGCAGGCATTGTTTGTGCAGTATCAGCCAGCTAATGACACAAATTTCCAGGAATGTTGCATGAGATTTTGAAAACAGCATTAATTGCCTGTTTTGTTGTTTTAGAAAAAAAAAATTAAGTTTAGTCACCAAATCACACTAGCGTGCCTGCACATGGAGGTGTCTGAAATAAAAAGACATCATAATATAATTCATATTAAATATTAATGATAAAGTAATCTTTTCAACTCAGGATTTCAAACTCCATAGAAGTTGTTTACTCAGCTATGAACATCTATATGTAAATTTTAATTTACATATTCAACAGTATTTTAGTAAGTAAGACAGAGAAAAAACACAGGCAGATGAATTATCTTTGAGCACAGACGTTAGTTATTTCTTATGATGTAAAATTAACCCTGCAAAAGCCCTATATTCTGGCAGAGGAAGAACATAAAAAGCTTTATCTAGAAGTATTTTTTTTAACATGCATTTAAAAAGGAGGTTGGACATATTGAAGGTGATCGTTCAATCTGGTGCGCGCGTGTGCGCACACACACACACACACACACAAACACACACACGATTTCATACCTTTAGAAGTTTTCTGCTGAGAGAATTTACAGGCCAAATATACACCAAAAGGCTATTGATGGTTACCTTAAAAGTTCTTGCTAAGTTTCAAATAAACTCAACTTCCCATGATAAAACCATCAACTACTCTGAACACCATATACAGTAGGCACTGCACCACCTTGCCTTAGAACTATGAAAAACACAAAAGCCTAACAAAAAATCAAAAATGAAATATTTATTACCGCATTTTGTGACTTAACACCTTTTTTTTTAACATAACGTCACAGTCCTCATACAAGTATTTTAATGTAAATTTGACAAAGCTTAAAGGTAACAGCATTTTCTTCTAGTGAGGAACACGTGCTGAGAAAAGAAGAATTCATGGACATACAATACCAATTCCACAGCAGATCTGATACTAGCAAAAACATTCTTTTTTTTTTTCAATTGAGGTAAACACATAGAATATCTAACATGAAACAATTAATAGACCGAACTCTGTACGAAGTTTGTTACAGTATTTCTCTTGCTCCTTTTTTATCCCCCAAGCTTTGAGTTTCCGATCAAGTCCTAGTTGTGGTGCTATGACCATTGACTTTTTCTGTTGAGGAAAGCTGCCCAACTTAAGATTGTTTTGTCCACAGCCAAGGCTTAGAACTCCTGGAAGAAGCTTCCGCTTTGTCTTTAAATCTTCATGGGCAAGCTCTTTGAAGAAGAGTCCCCCAAAATAATAAGAAGAATTGGCTTGTGAAGCACAAACTATAAAGATCTGTTTGAAACTAAAGGACACGTTTCTGGAGAAACAAAGGCTGGGCATGAAAACACATTCTTGAAGCTGGAGTCCGAGGGAT